CATCAGGAGGCTAATATAAAGCTCAAGGCCAAGCTCAAGGCCATTGCAAGGGAATGTCCCCAGGGTATCCATGGCCCTGGCAGAATTCCCTTGCACATGGGTACCTCAAGGCCATCGCCCTTTGGATGACCAGAGACATGGACAATGTCCCCTTAAAAATATATATTAAAAAAAACTTAAAAAAAGAATCACATTTATTATACAAGCCGGGAAATCGGCCCGGCGTCCCTCACAATAGTTGTTTCAGCCTCCCACATCCCCTTAAAAAAGGACGAGTCACATTTATTATATATTATACAAGCCAGGAAACGGCCCCGGCGTCCGTCTCAATTGTTGTTTCAGCCTCCCAGTAAGAAGACATCGCCGGCCAAACTCAGAAACCTGGGGGACACTGACAGTACAACGAGGCCATGCATTGCTTCCAAGTAACTCATCCTGGTCGTTGGCTGCTCATTCAACAGCCTCCCGGTAAGACTAGATGACCCGTTGCAGCTTCGCCCGCAAAAACAGAAAAGGAAAATGCACAAAAAAAAGAAAAAGCATAACGAACCGCCCTATCATATGCCGCTTCTTTCACAATAAGAAAAAGAAGAGCCTGAGAGCAGACTGAAATTTGCGTGCAAGAAAGTAGGAGGGAATACCACCGAATCGTTTTTTTAACTTTATTTGTGAGTCTTTTGTTTGGGAAGTCGTTACCTTTGCAGCATCGTTTTTCTTTTGTGCTGTGCAAGAACTCTGAACGTTTCTGAGAAAATCCTGTCCGTTGTCCCGTTGATGTTTTTGCTAAAGATTCCAATTCAGACTTTGCTTGCTGTGTTCTCTGAATATGTTTGTGACCAAGCGATCTTGCATGTAGGCCGCGTGCTTGCTTGTTGAGTTTTGACGCTATGTGTGCAAGTGCATGCGCGTGTGGGTGCGTCTCAGTTTGGTGGGCTCCGACGATGTCATTGATGATTGGCCCAGGGACGTTGTTGGAAGTCGCCTCCAATCACAGGAGTGCCACTGATGTTAAGCAGGTTTTGCTTGGAAGTTGCTCTTCGCGTGGGGGACTTGTCATGAGTAACACTGACGTGGGAGCCATAATGCTGGCCGTTCATCTTGCCACATTTCCTGGAAGGCAAAAGGCAAAGAAGAAGCAAAGTAGCGCGTGCCCCCCCTTCTCTCTCTCTCTCTCTCTCTCTCTCTCTCTCTCTCTCTCTCTCTCTCTCTCTCTCTCTCTCTCTCTCTCTCTCTCTC